CTTTAATAGCAAGAGGAGAAAATTAAAACTGTTTCTCCACAGAAAGTTCCCAATTCAACAAAAACTCAAGAAACTCATAACATAAATCAGTAATTTTTCAGAATAAAAAGTAGGTGAAGGTCCATCACTTTCAAAACAAAACAATATAATTAGATTACAGTGAATAAAACCACACAAAAAATGATGGCACCAATGATAAAAAGAGACACCAGACAGACCTATAAATATAACACTGTCCTTTAAACAAGTAGTACAAGATTACTATCAAAATCAATGTCAAAAAAAATAATCACTGGCCAGCACTCACCATATATACTCCATTGCCAATAGGAGAAAATGGGATGGGAGTGAATGGCTAATTTACCAAAATGGGAGAGCTTTGCTTAAAGGATTCAGGTGTTTCAGCACTGTAGAAAATGTTTTTACTTCTCTATATATTTCATGCCTCCATGATAAGGAAAATGATGCTTTTTATGATCATTTAGAAACCATTTTGTTTTCTCAGATTGATGATTGAATGTAAGTCTGCATCAGAGTGAGAACTTCTAGAAAAAAATGCAAGATAACAGATTTTTACCGCTCTATGGTTTGTATTGTATGCTGTGTCAAGGAACTGGTTTTGCACTAATTGCTTTGCAAGTCACAAGAACTTTTGAAAACAAGTTTATCCCCAGTGTTATGGGTCTATTTGGGTGTGTGGGAGAATATCCCCTATGAGTATATAGGTGGCACACCAGAAAAGGGGGTGTCAGATCCCTTGGATCTGGAATAGCAGATGGTTAGGAAACTCCCAATTTGGATGTTGCTATCTGAATTCAGGTTATCCCCAACAAGAATACTTGCTAAGTGACCTGCCCAGCCATCATAGTACTTTTTATCCACTAAACTAAGGATTTCACAGTTTAACCATGACATCAACAACAAAAATGACATATTAAATAAGGAAGAGTAAACAAATAATCCCTGGGAAATTGATGCATTTCTATTAATATGTTCGATATGTCAGCAACACATTTTTACAACCCACAGAACTTCTTTAAGTCTGCCAAAATATTCACACAATACACCACCACACACTGCTGGTTCCATATCCTTCTCTAAAAGTTGGGAAGAAGACTTCAGCTTTACCAGAGGCCAGGTCACATCGAGGGACCCCAGGTAAGACACCCACCACTACCTAATAACCCCCATTAAAGCCCGCCCAGCAACCTGACTACACTCCCTACCTTGGGCTCCACACAAGGTCCCACAGCTGTTCTAGAGGCCAGTGTGGTTCTCATGACCCCAGGGAAGACACTCCTAAACTCCTTCAAGTCTGTCCAACAACTTCAGTGCATCTCAACACTAAAACCCAATATCAGCCTATTGCTTTGGAAGATATTTTTGGCTGTTTCAGAGACATAGAAGGTCCAAGGAACTATACAGGTAAGACACCACCCACATCCAGCTAACAGTCCAGCAACACCAGACAGCACAGCTCTGGTAGCCTTACAGGAGGTGAGGCTGTTCCTAGGAACCCTAGGGAAGACAATGACCACCACCCACTAACCTCATTTAAGCCTGCCCCAAAATCCCAGACCTGAACACAATGCTCCATATCTTGGTTTACAATTAGGAAGATTTCTGCTTTACCAGAGGCCACACCAGATCTAGCAATCCCAGGACTACACCTCCATGAGAATTCAGCCTTACCAGAACACAGGCCAGGTCTAGGCTCCCCAGCAATAATAGCTGTACTGGAGACCAGGCTGGACCTAGGGACCCCAGAGGCCAGACCAGATCTAGGGACCTTAATCTGCACTCTTTCCGTTGGGTTCCATATCCTGGTCTACAACTTTGGAAGAGGACCTCAGCCTTTGACAAGGCCATGCCTGATCTAGGGAACCCTATCCCCCAAAAAGTCAGAGGGGGTACCTTAATGAAACCAATGACACATCAGTCACCAGAACTCTTGGTACCTTCATGAAAAATTTGCAGAGATTCCATACTAATGACTTCTTGGCACACCTCAAGTTCTAGAACAACAAGAAATAGATACACTTAAGAGGTGTAGATGGTGGAAAATAATCAAACCGATGACTGAATCCATAAAATAGAAATAAAGAACAATACAAAGAACAAATAAGACAGAGTTGGTTCCTTCAGAAAAATTAAAAAAAAAAAACAGATAAATCCCTATCCAAATTACCCAAAAGGCAGAGAGACTACCCAAATCAACAAAATCAGAAATGAAAGGGGGGGGCATAACAGAGTCTGAGAAAATACAGAGAATAGTAGTACATTCGCATCTCATCTCTATAACAACTCTTGCTAAAACAAAAGATTGGTATTTATTTGCTCCTCTCCACATAACAACTAAATAAACATTAGAAAACCTTCCAGTGTTGGTTTTCACTACATTCTGTGTTTGTTCTGCTTTCATTTTCTATTACTGCATCTGGTGTAGACAAGAAGGCTGGAGCTCTCATATCCATGTGACAGATGAGAGTGTGGTAAAAATTAAAAGCAGAAAAATTAAAATCAGATGGGATAAAGGAGGAGGTCAACATAGCCTAAGCTGTAATTATATGCTTTTTCATGACTGATATAACACTGACTGCAAATGTCCTTTATAAGTGTATAATCCTTTAAACACTGCTATCTTCCTCACTCATTAATGCCCTGTCCTCTTGAGGTCACAAGCTTGTCCTCTACAAATGAAAATTTAGGATATTTTCCTATTCAGGCCACCATGACTATAACGGCCATGAGCATGAGAATTCTGATACTTATTAATACTAATCTTTATTGCATGGAAAATATACTGAGAAGACTTATGGACTCCATTGCAATTTTGGCATTTTATGAGAACACTGTATACTATAGACAGACATGAACACAGGGATAGAAGAAGAATGTCTGGAGAACATTATTTACCCTTTTGTTTGTAGTAATATGATTGCTTGGGTGTAGGTAATATGTCCAAATGCCTCAGAATACATAGAGTAAATATGGGCAATTTTATACCAATGATTTTAACTAATTTTAATTCATACCTGTTCTAAAATCCCAACCTACTGCTATCAGAGATTATTTTGCATGCCACTGTACAATAACATGCCATGGTCAGATTCACTGTTAAATTCTGGATCAAGTTTTACTTTCACTCTTTTTGCTTTCTCAATTAAATAATACTTTCTAGGCTACCTTCTATGTGAACATAACAATGTATTCTATGTCAGCAAACTATATTGCAGTCCTCTTTCTGTCCTCATACATTGCTTCAGATTTGTTTCACTTTCACACATTTTCTGTAGTTTGCTAAACAAAGACTACTTGGAATAGCTTCTTTTAGCCCTTTATGCTTTTGCAAACAACAGTATTAAAATGATGTATATTCAACATCATGAAGACATTGGGTATGCTCAACTTACAGCATAAATTCAATACTATCCATAGAAAATTCCCAACAAATTACAACAGTAAATCTAATTCCATAGCTATGTATCACATGAAAAAACTCAGAATTCTCAATAGGATTAATAAAAACTGGTACACACATTGACATAATTTTGTCCTTTACATAAATCTACAATGAAGAATATGCACAATATTTGTGAACAAATGAGGATATACAGAGAAAAAGCCAAGAACAAAAGAAGAAAAATATAGTCAGAGTATATAAGGAAACACAACCAGGAAAATGTGAACTTAATCAATGGACCCTATGATTGAGCCTGTATAGAAACTAAATAAACAAAGACTTCAGAAATCCAACAAAAGTTGTTGGGGGCCTCCACCATAATTCAGGCATAGCACCATTATGTCCTCATAGAGAAAGACATGACTCCAGGTCACATTGCTGAAATACCACCTTTTAAGATAGGAAGCGAGTTCTGAGAAAACAAACTTGTAGCTTATCTGCCTAGTCACTAGGGTGTAGGTTTGTAAGACAGAAGGTAGAGTGTGAAAGATAAAGTTAGAGTCTGCAGTTAGGTTACCAGAGAACACACACAGGATGACCTAACCATCCCACTGACCTTTGCCCCACCAGGCTCATTGCAGCTGCAGCACACCCCCATTCCTTCCCCTCCTCCCCTCCCCTATATAAATCCCTTTGGGATGAAATAAAAGTTGTCGACTTGATCAGAATCCTGTCTTGTCCTCCTTCTTTGTATCTCCTGTCCTCCATCTTTCTCCTAGGCGTCCGCAAGACCCACGTTGAATGTCCCACGGGTAGGGGCAAAAGGTAACACAAAGTGAAGCCTAAGCTTCTCTACTTCTGACCCTCCAGCTACTAGTGATGTCTCTTCCAAACACAGAGGTCCCATTCTCTAGAGCTCTCTCTGGAAATGGAGGTGATCAGAAAGATTTCCTATGGTTATGCATTCCCTCATTCCCCCCCCATCTGACTGATGCAGACACACACACACACACACACACACACACACACACACACACACACGTTGAAAGATCCTGCATCCTGCCACATGGATTATGGCACAATATGTGGAATCTGCCTTATTAACCTGCACAACACCATGTACACCGAAGGAACCTCTGTAGCCCAGAAATTCCTTTTGCTCCCTGGGGTTGAATTTTCCCTGAATTGCGCTATTGTGGCTAGTGGTAGAGGGAAGTTAAATGCACTTTAGTCAAATATTTCTGAAGGATGAGCCCCCATTACCTCCTTTATACCAGTTCTAAACTGTTTGCAAACCTTGTCACACATAACTGAATGCGGAATGCCATGTTGAGAATTTCTACAAACCAGACCTTCAGCTTTCCAAACTTTCTTCCCACTACACACCAAAGCATTGCCACCCCCCCCTCCGCATTAAGGCTGACATGGCATCCCCTCATAGGAAATGGGCCCCAACAAGCTAGCTCATGCACCTGGGATACATCCTGGTCAAACTGGCAAGGATCTAATGTTGTCAGGAACCAGAATGCACCTTCACATACCCACTCAATCACGCACTGACAGTACATAATTACAATTAAAATAACACACTAAACAATTTTTCAATCATGAAAGTTTTTCTATTGTAAGCATTCATTCCTGTAACACAGGTGTTGAGGTATCTGACAGCTTACTTAGAGTTTTTCTTCATCGTGGATTGGTATATGTAACTGAAAAGAAGCATATAGGCTTGAGGTCTAAGTTGATGGTACCATTTGGGGAGATTTAGGAAATGATGCCCTTCTGGATGAATGTGTCCCTGGGGGTAGGCATTGAGAATTTGCATCCAGACACCATTTCCAGTTCCCACTCTGCTTCATGCTGCAGGTTGAGGGTGTGAGTTCTTAGCCTGCTGCTATAGCTTCCATTCTGACACTACTTGCCATGCCACTTTCATGGTGATCCTGCATCCCTCTGGAACCAAGATGCCAAATTAAATTCTTTTTTTTCCAAATTGATAAATGACAATTTTATTTTTATGCATAAAGGTAGATGAGAAACCATTACCAGTTCTATTAAAACTGAACATTTCAATTGAAAAGCATAGTATGTATACTTCTTAAATACCATTTTCTAAAATACAGCTTTAAAACATCTAACATGCTTGTGTAATTTCAGTACAATGGCTTCAAGACCAAGTATACATATTACAAGCATCCAGACTGGATTACAAATTATCATAGTCAGCAGCAGCAGCAATATCATCATAATTTTCACATTTTCTTTTCAGCGCATTTGCTGACTCATTGGCTGTATTTTGGTATACCGTATTAGTAGTAGTTAAGAATGTTTTTGGACCCAATCAGTGATGGATTAATCAGAACATTCTGAACTGCTGATGTTGCAGGAATTGATGCTTTCACAGCAGGGGACTGAGAAGCAGGCATCTGGACTGTAAACCTTTGTCCTGTGAGGGCCACTGGAGTGCCTACTTTAGTTGAGACAGACACAGTTTGTGGAGTTGGTGTGCCTAGTGTGGGAGTACTTGGTCTGCTAGAAACTGAACCAACACTTAACCTGGGAACTGTTATTCTTCCTGCAGGAGCAGATGCCTTTTTTCTTTTTCAAAGACTTAAGCCTATAGTTACACAGTACCTATCGGGTGGCGCTCTAGGACCTGAGTATGGCTTGATCAATGGCAAAGGGGTTTGATGTCTTTGTCTTGCAATACCTAATAAAGATCTCTTGGGGGAGGAGAAGTGAAAGACTGGTCTGCACGGTACCTAATAAAAATCTCTTGGGGGAGGAGAAGTGAAAGACTGGTCTGCACGGCACTGAATTGCCAATCGCACATCATCTGCATCAACAGGAGCTTTCTTGGCTTGGCTTGAATAAACTTTAGCATCATCTAGAATTGAGGTCACACATCGGAAGGCAAACTCCAACATCTGATTTATAACTCTCAGCTCATATCCTGTAATCCCCATATCCTTCAGGATCTGTGCCATCATCTGTGTACCTTTCAGCATGCTCTTGGGGGAAGCCAGCTTGCCAGACTCCATGATATCCGGTGATCAGACTTAAATCACCCACATTCATGTCCTTCAGTCCTGATCTTGATGCAAGTTCTTTGCCTAGAATGGTCTTTCCAACCCCTGGTGTACTGGTGAGCATAATATTTGGAAGGACAAAGGACAAATTAAATTCTTTTTTTTTTTTTTTTTTTTTTTGGTTTTTTTCGAGACAGGGTTTCTCTGTGGCTTTGGAAGCTGTCCTGGAACTCGCTTGGTAGTCCAGGCTGGTCTCGAACTCACAGAGATCCGCCTGCCTCTGCCTCCCGAGTGCTGGGATTAAAGGCGTGTGCCACCAAAGCCTGGCCAAATTAAATTCTTATAAGTTGACACAGACCTTATATCACAGGAACAGATAAGAAATTAAAACAAACCCCTAAACTTTTACACCTGAATTAGATATTTCAAGCAATCGAAGAGAAGTATAAAATCTAAAGGGTTACATTATCCTTTAAATTCATGGTGCAAGTGTTACAGCTCTGGAAGGAACCGTACGCTGACTGTCACGAGGCAGGCTATACTTACAGATTAGAGGTAAAAGTATTGGATACCTACAGCTGTGAGGAGAAAGGAATCCTGACTGGCAGATGCCAGCCTATGCATGAAGCTGTGTTCCAGTGGGAGATGGTCTCCTGCAGGGAATAGCAATCCTGCTCCTCTCTGAGAGAGAGCCATCACAGCTACAGGCAAGAGTTTCCAAGCAGAGATGTCTGTTGCTGCCCTGCCCCACTCCCCTCAGGGAGATTCCCAAGAGGTATCCATGCCTCTCTGCTCTGCTCCAAGGGAGTTTCCCTGGCGAGATGGATGTTTTTCCTCAGCTCCACCCCAAACTGTTCCTACTCTGCTTCAACTATAGCAGAAACCACTGCAGAAATCTAACAGTCTGCTCGGGCTCTGGGACTAGGTTGCTCATTCTGCTCTGTTTCCCTAAGGGAGTTTGACAACAGATGTGTTCATTGTTTCTCTGCTCTGCCCCGCTAAGGAAGTTTCTGATCAGCTCACACGTAAGAAGGTCTTCACGCAAAATTCAGATTTGCTGGGGAGGAATGGCTGTCTCTGCCAGAGTGGAAAAGGCAACTGCCAACTGAACAAGCACATGCCTTACATAGGACTTCTTGGGGTGGAGATTTTCCAGGAATAAAATTTTCAGGGTAGAAATTGGTTGGATTTCAATGCCTGGGCCTAACCAGTCCCAGAGACTGGCTGGACTTCATGCTCACAGTTTGGTTGGTTTCAATCTCAGGGATCAGTTGGTTTGCACTTACTTGGTCAAAGGTAGAGTGTATTTCCTTGGTTCTGGATTCAGGAACAAGATGTGTTTCTTTCATTGGTCCATTCTAACATTTTGGCTCTGGTTCAGGGCTAGAGCATTCCTTTGCTGGGCTCTGGATTAGGGGCAAAGAGTGTTTCTTTGGCTCCGGCTTAAGGGCAGTGTGTGTTTCTTTTGCTCGAGTTTCAGGGCCACAGTCTGTGTTTCACTGGTGCTGTTTGCAGGATCAGTGTGTGTTTCTTCAGCTGGCCCACTTACCCTACACACAGGGTTCACAAATTGCTTTTTTTCATGAGTTTGCTAGTGCAAACAATATAAAAACAGAGAGCATAATGCTTGAACCGATTGTTGAAACCATTGATGTTTTTTTCCTACAGAATAAATACTGTTTTGAAATTGATTGTGTGTTAGCTAAAGACCTTACCAAATCTTTTATAATAAAAAGCCCTTTCTTCACTTTTCAGGTACTCAAAGCCTATTATAATATGCAAAAGCTTGAATAGATTGAACACAAAAAAAGTTTTACTCCTGTATAAAGGGTAAAACTTTACCACACTGACTATTTTTATAGGGTTTCAGTGAAGTATGATTTTTTTTCCTCATGATTTCAAAGACTATTGATAAGTACATAGGCTAAAAAAAAATTGATTACATTCATCAGGTTTCTCTCCAGTATGTGTTCTTTTATGCCTTTGAAGATGACTGTCACATGCAAAAGCTTTACCACACTGATCACATTCATAGGGTTTCTCTCCAGTATGTGTTCTTTTATGCATTTGAAGAGTACTGTGCTGAGAAAAGGCTTTACCACACTGATCACACACATAGGGTTTCTCTCCAGTGTGTGTTCTTTTATGTACTTGAAGATGACTATGACATGCAAAAGCTTTACCACACTGATTACATCCATAGGGTTTCTCTCCAGTATGTGTTCTTTTATGCATTTGAAGAGAACTGTGATGAGAAAAGGCTTTACCACACTGATCACATTCATAGGGTTTCTCTCCAGTATGTGTTCTTTTATGTCTTTGAAGAGTACTGTGATGAGAAAAGGCTTTACCACACTGATTACATTCATAGGGTTTGTCTCCAGTATGTGTTCTCTTATGCCTTTGAAGATGACTGTGACATGCAAAAGCTTTACCACACTGACCACATTCATAGGGTTTCTCTCCAGTATGTGTTCTTTTGTGCTTCTGAAGAGAACTGTGATGAGAAAAGGCTTTACCACACTGATTACATTCATAGGGTTTGTCTCCAGTATGTGTTCTTTTATGTACTTGAAGATGACTATGACATGCAAAAGCTTTACCACACTGAGTACATTCAAAGGGTTTATCTCCGGTATGTATTATTCTTTTATGCATTTGAAGAGTACTGTGATGAGACAAGGCTTTACCACACTGATCACATTCATAGGGTTTCTCTCCAGTGTGTGTTCTTTTATGGACTTGAAGATTTCTTTGACGTGCAAAGGCTTTACCACATTGATTACATTGATAGGGTTTGTCTCCAGTATGTGTTCTTTCACGCCCTTGAAGATGACTGTCATATGCAAAGGCTTTAGCACACTGAGTATATACAGAAGGCTTCTCTCCAGTTTGTCTTTCCTCTCCAGTTTGTCGTTCTTCATGCCTGCAAGGATAATTGGCACATATAACAGCTTTACCACATTCAACACACTGTTGAATCTTTGTGTCTGCATGAATTAATTTTACAATTTGGTTCAATTTCAAAGAGGTTATCAGATATCAAGGTTTTATCACTGTGTTTACACTCATGCTGTTCCCTTTCTTGTAGGGTTGTTTTGCATCTATGATGATACCTCTCATTATAATATCCTTTATTATATGCTTCACATTTACAGAATCTTTTTTACTATGGGAGACTTTTTACATATTTGAAGAGAACTGGAAAATTCAGATCTTTACCACCATTATTGCATTCATAAATTCTCTTATAGTGTGAGTCAGACTATATTTGCTAAGTGAACTAGGACGAACAGAATATTTACACAGTTTTAGTACTCACAGGGCTTTTCTGCAGTATGGGTATGTTGATGTATTAACAATGAAGCTGAAAAACCAACTACTTCTATATTGAATCAAATTCAACAAGTATACTCAACGGGGAGACTACTACATATATTCTAATGTTTCTGAGATACAGGTATGTGATGCCTTTCCATATCACTATGCTCATATGGCTTATATCCAGAGTAACCTATGTTACACCTTGTAGAGGAAGAATAACTAAGAAAAGTTTCCAATTGAATTCTCCCAGTTTGAATTTATGTTCCTCATAGACTTGTAGTATAGGGATTAAGGTTTCTACACAAGTATCCCTTGGTTCATGACCAGAATTGCTTCTCCCACTAAACTTAACATTAGCATAGTCACAATGAGTAACACTAGCTTTACTATGGACTATTTGCTTATTAGAAGGTTTTGGAGATATAATAATCATCACCTCTTCAATGAGTATAACTGTTGTAATAGGAGTAGTATGAAATAAATGGATTGACTGTTCTACAACATAGCTTTCATGGTGCTGTGACTAAAATGGTGATATCTACTACGGCATTATCTCCCTGTCTTCTGCCTTAAAAGATTGCCTTGCAAATGCAATTCACCTACCTGAAATTGAGGTTTACAGTTTTAGAATTTAATAATCGTCAATGTACTTTAAGCTGTGCTTATTTTCACTTTTGCTTTTGTTTAAAACTTCCAGGACACATTAAAATTTTTGAGAGGCACATATGTATCATCTTGCACTTGAAAAATTACCTTTCATGTCTTCTAGAACTTTGACAATGTTCTTCCATATTATGGTCTTCCCATCTGTATCCTAAAATATAGTACAAGAGGAATACATTTTTGAAAATTATGTAAAACTGAATTTCCTGTCTTCAACTAACCATAGAACCATGACTGACTTATGCCCTTATTCTTCTTACTCAATCAAATCACAGAAGAGTATCAATAACCAAGAGATAATTGTCCCTTCATTTTAAAATGTGCATGAAAATTCAGTCTTACCTATAGTAGTGAGGTTCATGTAGGTCTCAAGCATCACATTTTGGTAGAGATTCTTCTGGGAAGGGTCCAACAAAGTCCACTCTTCCCAAGTGAAGGCAACATGCACATCATCATAGGTCACTGAATTCTAAAATATCCCAGACATATGTACAACAGAAAGCATGATATTGGCAATATTGTAAATGTATAGTTCTTTGACAGTATCGTCATATAAGTCTTATGCACACCACACTTATTCCATTATACAGACATTATAATGTAATCAACAAGTCACTTTGGAAGGAAAGTGAATAGCATGGTCACCTCTGTCATTTCAGTATCCTTTGAATAGGATATCACCTTGCAAGAGAAATGCCTATTAACAATCAAAGAGAGAATTAGACAGATCAGCAGTAAAGAGTACATATGAGAGAACTGCATGAACAATTACTACCTATAAAAAGGAAAGTAAGATGGACAAACTGGGTGTATTGGCCAACACCTTTAACGCCAGCACTCAGAAGACAGAGGCAGGTACATTTGCCTCTGAGTTGAATGTCAGCCTAGTCTATGCAATCAGGTCTCCAGGACAGACAGATGTACATATTGTCTCCCATGAAACAACCAGTCAAAGGAATACAAAAGAGAAAAGGAAGTCAGAGGCTTTTACTGAAGTTCCTACAAAGAGTTATGCATTCAATCCAGTTCTGTACCCATCTTCCAGAAATCTGAAGTGCCCTAATTTAAACTGTAACATCAACAATATTGTAATGAAAGGTACTGCATATTTAAACAGTTACAAATGGACAGGTGAAAACATTAGCAATATAAATTTGGATCATAATTAATCAACAAAGGGTAGGAAACATCTCAGTAGTAGTGAGCTCTTGCTGGTCTTGCATATATGGGGGCTCAATTGCCAACAACTGCATGGGGAATTACAGCTATCCATTATTCCAAGTTCAGAGTTTCTGAGACATCTTTTGATCACTGTGAAGTCCAGGTAACCATGTGATACATATCCATGAATACAGGTAAAATACTTGTATTCATGAAAAAGTGCAAAACAAGTTGGGCAATGGTGTTACACAACCTTAATCCCAGCACTTGGGAAGCAGAGGCAGGTGGATCTCTGTGTGCTATAGGCCAGTCTAGTCTACAGAGTGAGCACCAGGACAGGCTCCTTAGCTACACAGAGAAGCTCTGTCTTGAAAAGCCAAGGAAACAAAGAAATAGATTAATTCAAAACAAACACAATAGGCTGGAAGAAGGTAATGCACCTGCAATCCACTGACTCGGAAGGCTTAGGACGTATTGGTGTTATGAATATTTAGCTTCCTGGGAAACAGAATGATACCCTCTGCCAAATTTTAAAATTCAAGATATGGCTAAAACTCAGTACAGCAGCATATGCGCAGCATATACAAAAACCTACACTCCATGCCAATCACCCAGTAATACAGAAACAAAAAAAACAACCAGGAATGTGGGCCCACCTCTAATTGCAGGTCTTAGGAGGCAGAATCAGGAGGATCTATGAGTTTGAGGCCAGACTGGCAGGTGTACTGAGGTAATTTTAGGACAAACACAGACAAATCCTGTCTTCAAAACAAACAATTAAAACATCAGGATACCAAACTGCCTTAGCACTAGACAGCAATTGTTTCTACTGTATCTTATGTGATTTAGAGACGGAGTCTATAATGGTAGTGATGACATGATATTATGAGAAGGAAGAAGGCTGATTAGTTTCAAACACAACGAGGAAGAGGAAATGGGTTGAGGCTATTGAGACTCATATTACACCTTCAATGAGAAATTTCATCCAGAAAGAATCCTCTACTAAATAAGCAATTGAAAGAAAGTCACCAAGGAGAGACACATGTTCAAATACATCATTCTTCCTGGGTTATTTTTCATTCAATCAACTACATCCTGCCCCAGGTCAATGGACATCCATGAAGAAAACACATTAGTCACTTAAATGATTCTCATAGTCTGCAACAGCCCCTACACTGTTCAAATGCCCAAAGTCTACTGACACTCAAGACAATCCCTTGACAGTGGTATCTTGTAAAATTAAAAAAAAATGAGTTATACAATTCCAACATGCCATTCACAGAATACCATTCACATTCAAAAGGAGAGAAAAGAAGACATAGTGAGGGAAGACTGAACCAAGGCAAGTCTGAAGGGCAGCAGGAGAAAGACCAAATCTGTTTCAGATGCACGATACTTCAGTTACAAAGAGGTTAGATTAGATGGCCGTATCCATGCAACTTCTCATACATCTCTCTCCTTGGTTACTTCCACTCCCTATATACAACTCGGTCTTCAGGGAAGATGTCTCATAGCTTAGGCATCTCAACATCTTGTGATCCTAAAATCCTAGATGTATTATTTCTGTTTATGCTGTGGAGCATTTGTTATAATGATGCACAGATGTGTTGCATTCATTTATGTTGCATTTGCTTAACGCAATTAAGCTGTGATTCTTTGCCTGTCTAAAATTCTTCATTGGTCTAATAAAGAGCAGAAAGGCCAATAGTGTGAGGCATGGCTGGCAGGTAGAGAGAAGAAATGGAGGAGAAATTTGGGAAGAAAAAGGGAAGGAGGAGCAGGAAGAGGAGAGGATACTAGGGACCCAAAACCCAGCTACACAGCAAGTTATAGAATAAGAAGTAAAGAAATGTATACAGAATAGAGAAAGGAAAGAGCCCAGAGGCAAAAATGTAGATTGGATAATTTAAGTTCAAAAAAGCTGGCTAGAAACAAGCTACAGAATAAGTCTCCATGTCTATGATTTATTTGACAGCTGGGTGGCAGGCAACCAAAACAAAAGAAAGAAAGAGAGAGAGAGAGAGAGAGAGAGAGAGAGAGAGAGAGAGAGAGAGAGAGAGAGAGAGAGAGAAGAAAGAACACCTGGCTTCAATCCCCAAAGCTTCATGCAATGAAGTCTCACAGTCTCCTCACTGGGGTTCTGACTTGGCCAAACAGATGTCTGCAACAATGCTGAACTGTAACCACAGATTAACTTAATTGTGATTCTTTGATTCCAGGAAAAGCACATGATGGGTGCTTCTGTAAAGTTTGGTTTCTTAATTAGAATGGACACTAACATGCTTGGACCACGGATGTAGCAGGTTTTGTATGAAGCTGCTTCCTGGGACTAGGAATCACTTTGCTTACTCCTTCCATAAATTGAAGGTTTAGCTGGATGGAATCTAAACCTTGCATTTCATATCAAGGCCCTTCTCCATAATGGCTATAAACTCCTCGAAAATTACTGCCCATTTCAGCACTTGACTGCCATCAGAATCCACCTTTTCATTTTCATTCATTTCTGCTCCACTTATTTTTTCCCTGTAGACCACTGAGTCATCAGTAATAACAATCCAACACATTCAATATTCCATTTAAGAAATTAATCCTTTACTTTTTAATTCTGCCTTACTAAATTTCTAGGCCATGGGCAGAATAAGAAATATTTTGTAGTCAAAATATCACACAAATGACCTCTAGCTTAATTTTTTTATTCAGTATATTTCTGACTAAAATCCTATGTTCTCAATCCCCACTTTCTGCCATTACTCTTAATATTTCCATCTTCTTGGTACTAAAAGAACAGCCAGGAGCCAGCTGAGAGTACTGGTCTACTCCCTTCTCCACTCAGGGCAGAGGACAGGGAGTGCTTCAGATCTGCCTGCACCCATTATGAGACCCATCAGAATATTGGACCTGCTTGCACACACCAGAAAAGAACCTTGGACCCATACCATCCAGGAAAGGAAAAGACCCAAAAACCAATATGATGCCACCAGAGCATAGGGACTCTATACAAGCAAGACCTGAACATTTGAACACAAATGAAGCAGAAGAGAATGACCTTAAAAAACCTTCATGAAGATGATAGGGACTCTAAAAGAGGAAATGAGAAAATGCTCTAAAGAAATGGAAGAAAAGAAAAACCAAAAATTGCAAGAAACAATTCAAAAAGTGAAAGGTTTGAAAGCTGAAATAGAGACAAAAAAAAAAAAAACAGTCGGAAGGAATGCTGGAATTAGAAAAGGTGTTCAGGAACTACAGATACAAACATAACCAAAAGAATACAAGAGTTGGAAGAGAGAGTCTCAGGCATTGAAGATTCACTAGAAGAAATAGATTCATTGACCAAAGAAAATCTTAAGTCCAACAAATCCCTAACACAAAATATCCAGGACATATGGGACACCATGAAAAGACCAAACCTAAGAATAATAGGTATAGAAGATGGTGAAGAAACCCAACTGAAAGGTGCAGAAAACATATTCAACAAAATCATAGAAGAAAACTTTCCCAACCTAAAGAAAGACATGCCAATGAAAGTACAAGAAGCTTAGAGAACACCAAATAGAGTGGACCACAGAAAAAGTCCCCTCATGACATAATAATCAAAACCTTAAACATACAGAAAAAAGAAAGAATATTATGAGCAGCAAAGGAAAAAGGCCAAGTAGCATATAAAGGCAAACCTATCAGAATCACACCTGGCTTCTCCATGGAAACTCTGAAAGCCAGAAGGTCCTGGATAGATGTCCTACAAACACTAAGAGACCATGGATGCCAGCCCAGACTTTCAATCACTATATATTCTATGACAAAACCAGCAAAACTTTCAATCACTATATATTCTATGACAAAACCAGATTTAAACAATATATACCCACAAACCCAGCCCTACAGAAAGTACTGGAAGGAAAACTTCAACCTAAGGAAGGTAACTGTGCTTACAAAAACATGGGCGATAGATAATCCAACTTTACCAAAGTCAAAAGAAAAAGTGTGGTAAATCCATAAACAATAACACCAACAAGAACAAATAAAAAACAAACAAAAATTAGCACTCAATGGTCCTTAATTGCCCTCAATATCAATGATCTTAACTCATCCATAAAGACACAGAGTAACCAAATGGATCGGAAGATAGAATCCATCCTCCTGCTGCATACAAGAAACACACCTCAACTTCAAAGACAGACATTACCTCAGAGTAAAGGGTTGGGATAAGATTTTCCAATCAAATAGCCCCAAGAAACAATCTGATGTAGCTATCCTAGTATCTAACAAATTAGACTTCAAACTAAAATCAATCAAAAGAGATGAAGAAGG